AAAAATACAAAAAAAATTCTAAAAATTAGCCAGGTGTGGTGGTGCATGTCTGTAGTTTCAGCTACTCAGGGGGCTGAGGCAGGAGAATCACTTTAGCATGAGGAGGGTCAAGGCTGCAGTGAGACCAAGGTAGTCCCACTGCACTCCAGCCTGGGTGACAGAGTGAGACCCTGTCTCAAAAAAAATAATAAAATAAAATAAAATAAAATAAAATGAGTTGACTTATTACAGTTAGGGCTTTTGTGCCTGGCAGAAACCTTAGTCTAGCCCTTTCATTCTACACAAAGAGAAACCATCCCAGAACAGAGAAGCAAACCGAGCAGAATCCTTGGAACAGGCCACGTGCGGTGGCTCACGCCTGTAATCCCAGCACTCTGGGAGGCTGAGGCGGGCAGATCACCTGAGGTCAGGAGTTCAAGACCAGCTTGGCCAACATGGTGAAATCCCGTCTCTACTAAAAATAAAAAATTAGCTGGGTGTGGTGGTACGCGCCTGTAGTCCCAGCTACTCAGGAGGCTGAGGCAGGAGAATTGATCGAACCCAGGAGGCAGAGGTTGCAGCGAGCTGAGATCGTACCACTGCATTCCAGCCTGGGTGAAAGAGGAAGACTGCATGTCAAAAAAATTAAAAAAAAAAAAAAAAAAAAAAGAATCCCTGGAACAGAGCCACACAGTGAGTCAGCCACGGGCAGAGATGAGCTTGCCTCCTGCCTCCTGGGTCAGTGCTCCTCTGCCTCCTCCTTTGCCTTCCCCCAGGTGCCCAGTGCTCTTATACCATCCACTTTGGCTGCCCAGGATTGGGCTGGAGATTGAGGCCAAAGGAAAGCTACAGAAAAATCTTGCGGCTGGAGTCCTGCTCTCTGACCAGTCAAACCTTGTATTCTGCACAGCTTCTTCCTTCTGCAGAGAGCATAGGGGTGGTAGCTGATCCATTACCCAGCCCTTCTAGACTCTGCTTATGCATCTGCTCTGTCCAGAGTGCCCTCCCCATCTTCCATCTTCCTTCTCGTGGCTAACTCATTCTTATCCTTCAAAGCCTTAGCCCAGCCCCACCTTCTCCAGCAAGCTCCCTTCTCGACTGCGCGCTCCTGCTGTGCTCACAGAGCATCCAGGACTCACTGCCACTGTATCTGTCACTCACTGTGGCAGCCTGGGGAGCCTGTGATTGTGCTCACCTTTCCCACTGCACTGTAAGCTTCTCAATGGTAGGGACTTTCTTGTCCATCACGTATGCCCACCTTCCAGCAGAAATATTAGATTTTCACCTGCACAGTTTCATTTTATGCTCACAACAACCCTATGAGGTAGCCATGAGAAAACAAGGAGAGAGGAAGCAACTTGCCCAACACAGAGGTAGCAAGAAGTTGATATGAAATTGTGTCCAGACTGTTATTTCAGTCTTGACTGTGGGCTACTATGACCCCAGGCTCTCGGTGAAAGTTTGGTGAATGACTTAAGGTCTTATTTCTGTCTCTGTGGCCAGATTAAGCACTGAGAGTTGGACGGTGGTGGGGAACCAATACTTCTACCACAATAACCTTTACTGAGGGCTTACTATGGGACAGACACTATGCTTGGTGTTTGACATATACTCTGTTTCTTTCCCATCGCTGCTGAAACAAAGTCTCACAAGCTTGTTGGCTTAAAAGAACATGACTTTATTTTCTTACAGTTCCAGACATCAGAAGTCTGAAATCTGTTTCACTGGGCTAAAACTAAGGTATTGGCAGGCCCATATTCCTTCTGGAAGCTCTAGGGAAAAGTTCATTTCTTTGCCCTTTCCAACTTCTAGAGGCTGACTACATTCCTTGGCTCGTGGCCCTTTCCTCTATCTTCAAAGCCAGCAGTGTATTCTCTTCTCTCCTCTCTGACATCTGTTTCCATCCTTACATTTTGTCCCTCTGGGCTTGATCCTCTGTCCTCCCTCTTATAAGGATTCTTGCGATGACATTGAGCCCTTCTGAATAATCCAGGATAATCTCTCCACCTTGAGGTCCTTAACCACACCCGCAGAGTCCTTTTTACCATGTAAAGTAACATATTCGCAGGTTCTGGGTATTAGGATATGGACATCTTTTGGGGACTATTATTCAGGCTACCACAGACATCATCAAATTTAGTCCTTGTACATTAATGCTGCAACAGAGGTCTTATGATTGGCTTCACTGAATAGACTTGGAAAGCACACGGCATATGACAGGCCCTTGATGCATGTTGATGGGGCTGATCTGGTGTGAGAGTTGATTGACAACATGTCCTCCTCCCTGTACAGTAGGCCTTGGAGGATGTGTTTAGTTCTGTGTCTTCCCTCAAGTCTTCTCCCACAGTCCTCTCCACTGGGGACAGATAGAAACTGTCAGAGTGTCTGACACTTAGACACTTAATTGTCCCACTTGGGGTCACTTTGTCTCCCCAATGAAATCACAATCTCCTTCTGTGTAAAGACCAACTCTCATATACTACTAATTATTTGGCCTTTTATACAGTGCCACAAGCTTTTGCAGACATCATTTTTTTCCTTTTAGTCCTTGCAAGGACTGTCCATTTTACCGAAGAGCAAAGTGAGGCTCTGGCGAGATGCACAGTCAGTTTTTAATGGTGCTGGTTGATGAACCCTGCCTTGCTCCAGATCCTTTATCTCATGGTACCCACCATGAGGGACTTTCTGCACCCTCAGCAGCCTCTCACCCACTGACTCAGCTCTGCACTTGACTGAATTTTCTTACATCTTTAGCTTCCTCTTAACCTTTTGATACTCTTACTGTGGCATGCTCAAGCACACACACACACACACAAACAGACACAAAACTACCCCAGCCCCCAGAACATTTCCAACACTGGTGTCTTTACACAGCCCTTACCCACCCACCCCCATTTATATTTCATCTGCAAAATGCTCATCTGAGCCGCTTCCCATTCTTTCTCCTGCACACACAGTCACCACTAGACTTGCACATCCCCTACAGCACAGCTCCCAGAGCCTTCATAGATGACAGGAGTTTCACCTAAGCTTGCTTTCTGTAGAAACACCTTGTGATCACCCTGTCAGTGATTATGAGCTTCAGGTCTGGAATCAGCCTGCCTGGGGTTGGAATCTGGGCTTTGTCATGTGTCAATTGTGTGACTTTTGGAAAGTAGATTAATTCATGAGCACCATTTCCTCGTCTGAAGTGAGGAATAATAACCATGCTTTTCTCACCTCAGGGGCAGATGCTATTTTTTAGGCAAGATTTGCTTAGAGGTCCCAGTTTCTTATTGCTGCCCTTCTCTGCCATAACTCTTCTCCCCTCGTAGACAGCTCCACTCCTCCAGCCTGCTGCTTCTTGACCCCAATTCTCTGGAAGGCGAGTGACATCAGTTGTATGCTTGAGGTGGGTATTTTAGCTGCCATGACTCTTTCCAGGGCAATTTCTCTTCAAAGTCTCATTTCTAATCACAGACAGGAGGCCCAGGACACCTGCTAATGAGAATTAGTTCATGGGTGACCAGATGAAGGAGGCACTGGGAGAGGGGAACTCCCCATATCTCTGGTGTCTCAGCAAATAGATAACCACCATTCCAGCCCTCCTTTTGTTTTCTTTCTTTCTTTCTCTTTCTTTCTTTCTTTCTTTCTTTCTTTCTTTCTTTCTTTCTTTCTTTCTTTCTTTCTTTCTTCTTTCTTTTTCTTTCTTTCTCTCTCTCTTTATTTCTTTCTTTCTCTCTCTCTCTTTATTTCTTTCTTTCTCTCTCTCTTTCTTTCTTTCTTTCTCTCTCTTTCTTTCTCTTTCTTTCTTCTTTCTTTCTTTCTTTTTTTAGTCTTGCTCTGTCACCCAGGTTGGAGTGCAGTGGTGTGATCTCAGCTCACTGCAATCTCTTCTTCCCAGGGTCAAGCGATTCTCCTGCCTCAACCTCCTGAGCAGCTGGGACTACAGGCATGTGCCACGATGCCCAGCTAATTTTTGTATTTTTAGTAGAGACGGGGTTTCACCATGTTAGCCAGGATGGTCTCGATCTCCTGACCTTGTGATCCGCCCGCCTCGGCCTCCCAAAGTGTTGGGATTACAGGCAAGAGCCACCACGCCCAGCCCATCCTTTTGTTTTCTATCCTGTGTTGGCTTGGTGGGGGAGAGGAGGTGTTGACACCTGGAGGACACACATATAAAGCATTCCTGGGTGACTTCGTCATCACTGGGCCCTGTCTCTCAAAATTCCAGCGAAATCTGCTCTTCCCTTTAAGGGGTGAAAGAAGGGTCAGCATTCCAGAAGTTCCTGGTCATACCCAGGCTTTTAATGAACTGCCATTGGGGAATCAGCAACCCGTTGCTGTAAGGGCTATAGGATGAGGGGTTGTGAGAGCATAGGGAAGGGTCTCAGAGGTCTCTTGTCCCTGCTCTACGCAGGTCTTTCTGGCCTGAAAATCCTGTCGAAGAGAGCAGCTCTTAAGAGTTTGCTCCAAGTTCCCTTGGGACGATCAGCACCACGGACAGCGGCCAGGGCGCCCTGAGGACCCGCAGGCGAGCAGGGTGCACAGCCGCGAGCAGGTGCTGCGCTACGTGCGGGCCAGGGAACTCGCGCGTGGAGGGAAGGGGAGACACGCCGTGGGTGGCGGGGTGTTGGCCGGGGTTGTTTTCGTTCTGAGTCACCCTGTGCGCCCCGCGCTCACGTCGGGCCTCGGAACGCCGGGGTTCTCCCTGCCTTTTCCAGCAACGGTGGGTGGGGAGACAAGACGCAAGCGCCAACCTAGGACACCCAGGTTTTTGCAGGAAAGGAAGAAGCGGGAGACGTGGACTTGTCTGTGTCTCCAGCGCGTTCCTGCCCCCTGCCCGACCTGGCCCATTTCTATACAAGGTCGGCTCTGCCCGGTCTCCACCTCCCGCGTTGCAGGCGCGGAGGGGCTCATTCCCGGGCCCTGATCTCAGCGGCCCGGAATGTGGCTGATAAATCAGAGATAACCCTGCAGGGCAGGGCGGGCGGACACTCAGCTCCAGGATAAAAGGCCACGGTATCCCGAGGAGCCAGGAGGAGCACCCGCAGGCTGAGGGCAGGTGGGAAGCAAACCCGGACACATCGCAGCAGCAGCAGCAACAGCAGCAGCAGCAGCAGCAGCAGCAGCAGCAGCAGCCTCCGCAGTCCCTCCAGAGACATGGATCCCCAGACAGCACCTTCCCGGGTGCTTCTGCTTCTGCTCTTCTTGCACCTGGCTCTCCCGGGAGGTCGTTCCCACCCACTGGGCAGTTCGGCCTCGGACTTGGAAACGTCTGGGTTACAGGTGAGAGCGGAGGGCAACTCAGGGGGAATGGACAGCAGCAATGAAAGGGTCCTCACCTGCTGTCCCAAGAGGCCTTCACCTTTCCTTTGGAATTAGTGATAAAGGAATCAGAAAATGGAGAGATTGGCTGCCATGACCCAGTACCCAAGGCAGTCAGTTCACTTGGGTGCCATGAAGGGTAGGTGAGCCCAGGGATGGGTCCCTGAGGCTTGGACTCCCTCATCCATTGCAGGAGCAGCGCAACCATTTGCAGGGCAAACTCTCAGAGCTGCAGGTGGAGCAGATATCCCTGGAGCCCCCCCAGGAGAGCCCCCGTCCCACAGGTATCTGGAAGGCCCAGGAGGCAGCCACTGAGGGCATCCGTGGCCACCGCAAAATGGTCCTGTACACCCTGCGGGCACCGCGAAGCCCCAAGATGGTACGAGGGTCTGGCTGCTTTGGGAGGAAGATGGACCGGATCAGCTCCTCCAGCGGCCTGGGCTGCAAAGGTGAGCAACCCCTGCCACCCTGGCCGCCTGCCCCCATTCCAGTGTGTGACACTTTTAGAGTCACTTTGGGGTTTGTTGTCTCTGGGAACCACACTCTTTGAGAAAAGGTCACCTGGACATCACTTCCTCTTGTTAACAGCCTTCAGGGCCAAGGGGTGCCTTTGTGGAATTAGTAAATGTGGGCCTCTTTCATTACCATGCCCGCAACACTTTCTCCTCACCTCCTACCTCTTATCAAACGGGCAGAATCTCCTTTGGGGTCTGTTTATCATTTGGCAGCCCCTCAGTGGTGCAGAAAGAGAACCAAACATCTCCTCCTGGTTTCCTCTAAACTCTCTATAGTCTCAAAGGCAGAGAGCAGGATCACCAGAGCGATGATAATCCCCAATTTACAGATGAGGAAACTGAGGCTCAGAGAGTTGCATTAAGCTTCAAACGTCTGATGACTAACAGGGTGGCGGGTGGTACACGGTGAGGGAAGCTCAGCCCCTGCCTCCATCTCCCACCCTAACCATCATCACCCTCTGTCTTGCCCTGACAGTGCTGAGGCGACATTAAGAGGAAGTCCTGGCTGCAGACACCTGCTTCTGATTCCACAAGGAGCTTTTTCCTCAACCCTGTGGCCATCTTTGAAGTGACTCTATTTTTTTTAAATGTATTTATGTATTTATTTGATTGTTTTATATAAGATGGTTTCTTACCTTTGAGCACAAAATGTCCATGGTGAAATAAAGTCAACATTATAAGCTTTATCTTTTGAAACTGATTTGTCTTGGCGCATTAAAAATAATCCCTAATTTCAAAGAAACCAACCCAACAAAAACCACAAAGCCCTGTGATCTCAAGGCATCGTCATGGTGGGATGGGGACATGGCCTCAAGGGTAGCGGTAGCAGGCTTTCTTTTCTTTCAGAGTTTTTAATGCTCTGAAATGTTATTAAATATCTCAAGTACTTGAGGCACTTGGGAGAAACTGCTTTTCAAAGCAGGGCAGTTTCTTCCTGGGTGTGGAACGGGTCCTGACATATGTGTGCAACCTGAGGGCATGTGTCCAGCCATTTTCTCCACTCGTCCTTGCTCTGCCTGGAATTCCACCATTAAAGCACTCTCCCTGGGGATTATTGCTTTCAGGTCTCAGCTAAAATGTCAGTGACTGGGGGCAGTGTGTGTGTGTGTGGCTCATCTACATTCCCATTCGGGGGTGAGCCCTCCATCCTGCCCCAAATATCAGCTTTGAAACTCCAATTCCTGGGATCATCCCGCAAAGGAGCCTTCAAAACTCCAACCCACAAAGTGAGAGGGGTCTGGTGATCAGCCCAGCTTTCCAGGGTGCTCCTCCCCTGGGGCTGCATCATCTCTTATTCTCTTTGCCTTAACCAGTGGGGAGGCCATCTCCCCTATGGGTCCCCTTCCTCCACACCTTGCAATCCAGGCCTCCCACAGTGCCGAGTTCCTCTCCTTTCAGATTCCTGGGAAGGGCCTCATGTCATTCCCTTTCTTACAATGCCATTTATAATGCCAGCTCAGCTGAGGGGTAAGGCATCATGAGGTCCACTATTATTATGCCCATTTTCCAAATGGGAAAACAGACCCAGGAAAACTAAGCGTCCTATCCAAGAGCACACAGCAATGAAGCGCTGGTGCTGGGAACTGAGCGGAGATCCAGGTGATTCTCGAGCCTGCGCTCTCCAACTCTTGAGCCCCACGCTCCTGGCCTTGAACTTCACTCTCAAGTCCTTTCTGATGTTCTCATCAGATGTTTCTTTGAATGAGAGGGACCTAGAGGGTGGGCCTTTGTGTTATTTATCATTTTAACCCAGTGTGCATCTGAGGATTTATGGATATCTAATGACATCAATTAAGATTGTTTAGACTGGGCGCGGCGGCTCACGCCTGTGATCCCAGCACTTTGGGAGGCCGAGGCCAGTGGATCACCTGAGGTCAGGAGTTCGAGACTAGCCTGGCCAACACGGTGAAACTTCGTCTCTACTAAAAATACAAAAATTAGCCTGGCATGGTGGTGTGTGCCTGTAATCCCAGCTATTCAGGAGGCTGAGGCAGGAGAATCACTTGAATCTGAGAGGTGGAGGTTGCAGTGAGCTAAGATTGCACCATTGCACTCCAGCCTGGGCAGCAAGAGTGAAACTCCATAGTCTCAAAAAAAAAAATTACTCAAAAGTGAGGTTTTAGGCCAGGGACGGTGGTTCACACTGTAATCCCAGCACTTTGAAAGGCCAAGGCAGAAGGATGGCTTGAGCCCAGGAGTTCAAGACCAGCCTGGGCAACATAATGGGACCCCCATATCTTCAAGACATGAAAATGAAAAAAATCATCTGGGCGTGGTGATGCACGCCTGTGGTTCCAGCTACTCAGGAGGCTGAGGTGGGAGGATTGCTTAAGCCTGGAAGTGGGGAGGCTGCAGTGAGCTGTGATTGCGCCACTGTACTCCAGCCTGGAGACAGAGGGAGATCCTGTCTCAAAAAAACAAACAAAAAAAGAGAATAAAATAAATAAAAATGAGGTTTTAGAGGCAACTTATTTTTCCACCAACTGTGAGTCATGTCTAGTGTTTCCGACCCGGGGAGAGCAATGAGTAATTAGAATAGTTAATATTTGGCCGGGCGAGGTGGTTCATGTCTGTAATCCCAGCACTTTGGGAGGCCGAGGGGGGCAGATCTTGAGGTCAGGAGATCGAGACCATCCTGGCTAACACGGTGAAACCTCGTCTCTACTAAAAATACAAAGAAATAGCCGGGCGTGGTGGCGGGCGCCTGTAGTCTCAGCTACTCGGGAGGCTGAGGCAGAAGAATGGCATGAACCCGGGAGGCGGAGCTTGCAGTGAGCCGAGATGGTGCCACTGCACTCCAGCCTGGGGGACAGAGAGAAACTCTGTCTCAAAAAAAAAAAAAAGAATAGTTAATATTCATAAAATCCTCATTCATGTACCAGGCACAGTCATACAGTCCTCACAAAAACGAAGGAGTTAAAACTATTTTTTGCCGGGCGCGGTGGCTCACGCCTGTAATCCCAGCACTTTGGGAGGCCGAGACGGGCGGATCACAAGGTCAGGAGATCAAGACCATCCTGGCTAACACGGTGAAACCACATCTCTACTAAAAGTACAAAAAAAACTAGCCGGGCGAGGTGGCGGGCGCCTGTAGTCCCAGCTACTCGGAAGGCTGAGGTTGGAGAATGGCGTAAACCCAGGAGGCGGAGCTTGTAGTGAGCCGAGTTCGCGCCACTGCACCCCAGCCTGGGTGACAGAGCAAAGACTCCGTCTCAAAAAAAAAAAAAAAAAAAAAAACAACTATTTTTTGAGACAGCTCTCACTCTGTTATCCAGGCTGAAGTGCAGTGGTGCAATCTCGGCTCACTACAACCTCCGACTCCTGGGTTCAAGAGATTCTCTTGCCTCAACCTTCTGAGTAGCTGGGAGTACAGGCATGCACCACCACTCCCAGCTAATTTTTGTATTTTTTGTAGAGATGGGGGTCTCACCATGTCGGCCAGGCTGGTCTCGAACTCCTGGACTCAAGTGATCCACCTGCCTCGGCCTCCCGAAGTGCTGGGATTACAGGCATGAACCACCGCGCCTGGCCTGGAGTTAAAACTCTCACATCCCTCATTTTACAGATAGGGAAACCAAGGCACAGAGAGATTATATAACTTTCTCAACGTCACGTAGTTAGCAAGTGACAGAGCCACGATTCGAGGACCCAGACCCCTAACCACTGTCCCACCCAGCTTTTTCCAAGCCAGTGAATCAGGCTTGTGGGTGAGGTGGAGGTCCCCCTCCTAGTGGCATCACTCAGTTCAACGTTTGGGGCCACTGCCTGCTGGTGGCCTTTCCCCTCTGCTCAGGTGATGAGGACACACCCCTCCCAAAATACTCACTCTGCACACCCAGCCAGCATTTCGAACTGCTGCAGATGACTCTGGCTCATCATAAATGGGGTTGAGATGGTGGAGGCTGTACATGCCATACATTCTGTTACTTGGGTCGTTTCCCCAAGCAGGATAGAGGACCCCAAAGTGACCTGTGAAGGAGCCAAATGTGACAGTTGGACCTGGTAGGGGTAGTGAGCTTCCCGCTGTACCCAGTGCGTGACGTCTCATCAAGCTCTCCACGTGGTTGGTGTTTACAGGCAGCTTTGTGGTACATACAGTCTGTGGCTGCCCTTAAAACCAGCCCTCCCTAACCTTTCCCCACGTAGCTGTAGCCATGGCCTTAACCTCCCTGACTCCCTGTTACCAACCTTGTCTCCCAAAGAAGCTGCCAAATGGTTTATCTCCATAGACACTTTTTTTTTTTTTTTTTTTTTTGAGACAGAGTTCTCTGTTACTCAGGCTGGAGTGCGGTGGCATGAATACAGTTCACTGCAGCCTCAACCTCTCAGGCTCAAGCAATCCTCCCACCTCAGTCTTCCAAGTAGCTGGGACCATAGGCTCATGTATCACGCCTGGCTAATTTTCTTTTTTTTACTTTTTTTTTTTTTGAGACGGAGTCTCACTCTGTCGCCCAGGCTAGAGTGCAGTGGCCTAATCTCAGCTCACTGCAAGCTCCCCCTCCTGGGTTTACGCCATTCTCCTGCCTCAGCCTCCCGAGTAGCTGGGACTATAGGCGCCTGCCACCTCGCCCGGCTATTTTTTTGTATTTTTTTTAGTAGAGACGGGGTTTCATCACGTTAGCCAGGATGGTCTCGATCTCCTGACCTCGTGATCCTCCCGTCTCAGCCTCCCAAAGTGCTGGGATTATAGGCTTGAGCCACCGCGCCCGGCCTACTTTTAATTTTTTGTAGAGATGGGGTTTCACCAGGTTGCCCAGGCTGGAGTCAAGCTCCGGGGCTCAAGCAATCCTCCCACCTTGGCCTCCCAAAGTGCTGAGATTACAGGTGAGCCACTGTGCCCAGCCTTACAATTGTTATTTTATTTTTTATTTGTTAATTATTTTTTGAGACAGTCTTGCCTTGCTGCCCAGGCTGCAGTGCAGTGGCACGACCTTGGCTCCCTGCAACCTCTGCCTCCTGGGTTCAAGCAATTGTCCTGCCTCAGCCTCCTGAGTAGCTGGGACTACAGACGTGCACCACCACACTTGGCTTTTTTTTTTTTTTTTTTTTTTACTTTTTTTAAACTTTTAGTGGAGACGGGGTTTCACTGTGTTGGCCAGGTAGGTCTTGAACTCCTGACCTCAAATGATCCACCTGCCTCAGCCTCCCAAAGTGCTAGGATTATAGGCATGAGCCACCGCACCAAGTCTCTTGTTATTTTAATCTTTCCAGAAAGACATGCTGGTGAAAACAGACCAAGGAGATTTAGTCCGTGGCTTAAGAGCTGGAAGAAGCTTCAATAGGGAGTGAACTGGTTTTTTCAGGTCTCCAGTGTTCAGGTCACACAAGTCAGGACCACGCTGGGCCTGAAAGCTTCATCTCATGTCAGTGATTTCGCACCTGGGACAGTCTCAAGGAACACTGAACCCCTCTCTCTTCCTCTTATGGCTGCTTTGATCTTTTTTTTTTTGAGATGGAGTCTCACTCTGTCACCCAGGCTGGAGGGCAGTGGCGCGATCTCGGCTCACTGCAACCTCTGCCTCTCAAGTTCAAGTGATTCTCTGCCTTAGCCTTCCGAGTAGCTGGGACTACAGGCACCCGTCACCATGCCCGCCTATTTATTTTTGTACTTTTCGTGGAGACGGGGTTTCAGCATGTTAGCCAGAATGGTCTCCATCTCCGCCATGTCCGGCCTCCCAAAGTGCTG